CAGGGCAGATTCCCTGAGATGAGATGTGACACATGGGTGGGCATGAGGTAGGTGATGAGAGTTGGCAGGGCAAACTATTGCAGGCGTGTGAGGCCTATTGATGGACTCTCCCTCACTCACTGCTACCGCTTCAATGCAGACTAATAGTGACCCTATACAGGGGAAACTGCCCCTGCCCGGGGGCTTCTGAGACTGTAATGGTTGCAGGAGTAGAAAGTGTCCTCTTTCTCCTGTATTAGGAGATAGGAACACGAAAAGTCTCTGGAATTGAAAAACAATAACAACAAGAATAAAACTCCCAACTCCCGTAGACTCCTCGTATCCAGTGTCCGGAGTGCCGTGTCATTGGGAAAATGGGATGATATTATCAGTGCCCTATATCCCAGAGGGATGATTGAAAATGTTTCAGTTTTTGGTTTCTATGGGTTTTCATTTTCCTGCCTTTGGTTTGTTTGTTTTTGTTTAGGTGGCTGGATAGTTTGTTGCTGTTGTCGGTGTAGTTGGTCTTATGGAGTTTTGATTTTGTCATCATACTATGGCCAAAATAGCCTGAGTCATGCATATCCCAGGGACAAGCAGATGGATTCTGAGCTCCCACTTAGCCCTAGCCCCAATCCAAGAACAGTGAGTTCTGATCACATGGCCCTGCTCGATACTCACCTCCATGAAATGATCACTGAAGATCAGGGTGCTACAGCAAAGTGTGGCAAAGAAAGCAGATGGTGCCCGGCTATCAATCAGAATAGAGTCTGGGGCTTTAAGATTTGTATTCAAACAAGCAGCTATCTAAGAGAGGAGTCAACTAAGTCCACATGGAAGAAGCACACCAGCTTATGTGATCCAAAGATGACAATAACAAAATTAAAATATGACGAAGGGAACCATGTCAGAGCTTCAATTGTGAACACCCAATTTGTAGAAAGCTATGGAGGACAGTGGGAACCCCAAACCCATCTACAGAGTATCTAGTCAGATTAAGCCTCCGGCAGATCCCCTGTAGCCATAGGCAAGGGTCTCAAACAGCTTCACTATCAGATAGAAATCATTGTAACCATGATGATACTCTATCGAACTTGCTCACTTGATACTTGGTCTGCCCACCTCCCTGTTGACCCAACCTGAATTTGTTCTAGGTGCAAGGATTTCTTCCTTGTTTCCATGACAAAAATTTCTTCCCTGGCTTTTTAAATATTGATGGTGGTCTTTCCTTTCTGACTCATTATTTGTATTTTTAACTTTACATTACTATTATTTATCTTTACCGCCATATTTTGTTTCCGTTTTTTACTGTTTCAGTTTGTGAAGCACAGGAGGAGTAGATACATAGACATAATAACTGGTGCAAGGGTTTATAGGGGATGTAGAAGTGGGAGGTGGGAGATAGGGAGGGTGAGGGAATTTGGGGAGCAAGCAATGCATGTGGGAATGGGGAGGGAGCACTAAAACCGATTGGGATTACACAACTCATTTTAAAATCAATTTAACCATAAAAAAAAAGAAAAGAAAATGTTCAAAAATTGATTGTGGTAATTATTGTACAATCTTCTTGATATGCTTGAACTATTGAATTATCTGGAAAGTGGATTATGTGCCAATAAAACTGTAAAAAACTGTTGTATCCTAATAGGGTAATTTTCAACATATAACTATAATGATAAAAAAGAACTAGAGCAGAGCAGGACTTAGTCCATTTTTAAAAAAAGATTTGGATGAGATTATCATAAAATTAGGCATTTTAACGTGTCCAATTTAGTGACATTTCGCATTCACAACGTTGGTTCCAAAACACTTCCATGACTGCAAAATAAAATCCTGTGCTCCGTAAACAGTCGCTCCCCATTCTCCTTTCCTCCAGTCCTGCACAACCATGACTCTTTCTGCCGCTGAGATTTACGCTCTCTCGATACTAACGATGAAACCGTGCAATATGTGACCTTTCGGCCCCTAGCTTCATTGACAGGTCCGTCCACAGTGTCCCCATGTACAAGGTTCGCGTATCAGTATTTCATTCCTCTTCCTGACTCCATCATACTCCATCACTTTCCTCCACCACAACTTGCGTTCTTGTTCATCCGTGGTAGGCATTTGGGCCATTTCCACTAATTGGCTACTGTGACTAATGCTACCATGGACATAAGCATACATGTATTTGTTTATCTGTTTTCAATTATTTCACTGGGCATTCTCAGTCAATTGCTGGGTCATTTGGCACATGTAGAGTCCTGGTGGTGTAGGGGTTAAACGCTCCTCTGTTTATTAAAAGGTCAGCAGGAGAAAAATGGGACCATTTGCTTCCTTAAAGATTTACAGCTTTGGAAGCCCTCTGAGTTAGCCCTAGTCTGTCTTGTAGGTTTGCTGGGAGTTGGCATCCAGGGACAGCAGGGGTATTGTTCGGGAGGGAATATTCAGAAGCTCTGGAGGGGCAGCAATAGAACGGAAGGGTGGGCAGTTTGAACACACCCAGCAATTGATTCCTCAGGAGCAGGGCCTGGTGCTGTGCTCCAATAAAGTCTAGGAAGCCCTCAGGGGCATTTTTACTGAGTTTTGTCCCATGGGATCATTGAGAGTAAACAATCTATTTGAAGGCATCAAGCATCGACAAGGACAATTTTATGTTGAACTTTCTTTTTGTTATTTTGTATAGTAGCTTCAGTGTTTCAGTCTCTTTATTTGCTAAATATTAAATATCTACTTAGTAGTCAGGGATTTAATTGTACTTAGATCCACAACCAACACCCATAGAAGTAGCTGTTAAGAAATCAAATCTGCTACCAATGGCCCCTTCAAGGTGCTTCACTTGTTTTAGGGAACTGCCAAATTCCTTTCACAGTGGATAAACATTTCATATTCTCATCAGTGTATGATAGTTTGTTTTCCATATCCCTCTCAAAATGTGTTGTCTTTCTTTGTTATTGGGCATCTTTATCATGTGCTTGTTGGCTATTTGTGTATCTTCTCTTACTTACTTTTAAATTATTTTTTGTTGCTAAATTCTAAAAGTACATGATATATTCTGGTGATGACTCATACATTTATGATTTGCATATATTTTCCCTTTTAAAAAATGCGGTTAGAATTTATTTTTATTATTATTTTTTGTAAATCATTTTATTTGGGGCTCTTACAGCTCTTACAATAATCCATACATCAATTGTATCAAGCACACTTGTACATATGTTGCCATCATCATTTTCTTTTCTTTTTTTAAAAATCATTTTATTAGGAGCTCATACAACTCTTATCACAATCCACACACACATCAATTGTGTAAAGTGTATTTGTACATTCATTGCCCTCATCATTCTCAAAACATTTCCTCTCCACTTAAGTCCCTCGGCATCAGGTCCTCATTTTTCTCCTCCCTCCCTGCTCCCCCCTCCCTCATGAGCCCTTGATAATTTATTAATTGTTATTTTTGTCATATCTTGCCCTGTCTGACATCTCCCTTCACCCACTTCTCCGCCGTCCGTCCCCCAGGGAGGAGGTCACATATAGTTCCTTGTAATCTGTTCCCTCTTTCCTACCCACTCTCCCTCTACCCTCCCAGTATCACCACTCACACCACTGGTCCTGTAGGGCTCATCCGCCCT